GAGGTGGATTTAAAATAAATAAATAAATTAAAAAAACAAAAAACAAAACTCATGATCCTGACTTGAAACGGTATAAAACCCTTGAGTTACTGCCTAGGGAAGTGTGACTCGCTTGGCATAAACCCCAATGAAGGAAGGGATGAGTCAGGCCAGTGTCACAAAAACAGAGATGATTTCTTATTGCTCTAAAAAGTTCAAAAGGACTTTGCATTCCAGCTTAGTATAAAGCTAAGTGACCAGGTTCTGAACCACTGAAATAGGATTACAGATGTACAACTTGCAATGATTAACAGTCTTCTCTTGTCAGATGAGTTCTCTCTGGAGCAGAGTGTACTTTCAGCTGTCACTGTGCATTTCATTTGATACAGGCCAAAAAATGAGTGGGCTTGTTAATCTCCATCCAGCTGTGCAGAAATGGGCCTACTTACACTACAACGCCATCACACAGTTTGAAACAGGCAGCAGCGACTGACTGTTCAAAAGCTTGTAGCCAACATGGGAGCACCAGCTGTTATAGAGACACTCTGCTGATCAGTGGCCAGTAGAGCCCCCTTGGAAGGAGAGAAAAGGAAAGAGCACTCTGGACTGAGAATATGAAAGACCCCCTGTAGCACTACATGCAACTGTCCACATTACACGTGGTGCTACAAAATCTAGCATACAAAAGTTCCCGTTTGAAAGAGCCCTGCAGTCTTCACGCTTGATCTATGGTACCGCAAGGGTGGCCAACCTGCGGTACATGCACCACAAGTGGCCCAGGCAGCCTCTGTGCATAGCACACAGCAGACTAGGGAGGGGACAGACAGCACAACAGCAGAAAGCAAAGTAGCATGTTGAGCAGCAAACACAGGGCAGGAAGTAGAAGGCAGAGCAGAAGATCAGGCAGGGAAGGGGATCAGAATGGCACTTAGGGAGGGTGTGGTGCTAAAGTGTGCCACACCTGCCAAAAAGGTTGACTCCCACTGTGCTAGAGTATGCTCAAAGTCACAACAAGCAAACACAGCTAATATTTCAAATATTGTAAAACCAAGGTTTTATGTTATAATTTTGACAAAGACCAGTGCTACTTTGCTGGCAAGAAACAGTTGTTCGAGGAATGATTTAACTCACTCATAATATCTATCACATGGCCTCTAAATCACAATCTAGTGCAGCCCCTATTGGACTTCCTATTTAAAAAAAAAATCCACAGTATTTTACTATTTAGCAACAATGCAAGATGATAAAAAGGTGATTTGAAACAAGTTGCTTGTTAGCATTTCACCCTTTCAGTACCTACCAAGCTTATGCAACCAAGACATAGCATTTGATCAAAACACAGGAAGAAACAGCTTACTATTTCTAAAATGTTGCCAAATAAAAAGTGTCTGGGGGGCAGGGAGAGGGGAATAATTTTGCTTGCCATAAATAGGTAACACCCTTATTTTAGATAAATAACAGGCAGATATAACCTACATTACAAGCCAGTGACTCCCAAAAATGGGAGGTAGAAAATGAATGAAGTCCTCATCACCCCAATTTAATTTAAAAGAACTCTCTCACTCCCTGCTTCAAAGACTCGTGGTGTGAGACTTCGAGTTATCCAGTCTCAGACATTTCTCCCACTATTGCTGCCAGCCCCCTGAGGAAACTGTACAAAATGGCTCTCCACTACAGTCATTTTTACACTATGGGTAAAGTGCTCTCTAACTGTTTAGAATGCCAGCATGAAGACAACTCAGCACATGAAAAGGTGACACTGATGCTGTTTTGCCTGGGGGTTTTACCCACGAGGGCAGAACACCAGCACCATCCTCCCTGGGAGGACTATGAAGTGAGAAGCAATAGTAAACATGTAGTCTGCAAGTTCACACCTATTTAGACTGCCATGCACATAGATCCCCATGGTAGTCACAGGCTTTCAGGCACCCACCCAGTAGTCTTAGATTCACAGGCTGCAAAGTCCTAACATTCAGCACCCTGAATTATGAGTATGTATGGAAACACACTACCCATTTTCTCTTTTCATGCTATTGGAACTGAATTTCTAGAGCTATAAAATCATCTGTCATTAGCGAGTCAATTTCTTCTGATGGCACAGACCAGTTTTTCATAGAGAAATACATCTTCCCACCTTCATGGCTGATATTCATCAAAACCTGTAAAAAGAACAGACTGGGAAATGACAGGGGAAATAAATTAAACAACTATACCTGCAAGGCTGCACTTCGCAATTCCAAGCATGTTGCTATTTTAGCTATGGTTTTCTGTAAAGAGAAACAAAATAACTTTATTCATTTGACACTGAAGTCTGCAGGCTACACCACCAACACAGAAACCCCCTTCTTTAAAAACAAACTTATAAACACTTGCGTTAAACACCAAAAGATTTCTACTGCACAATCTTAACGGATACATATCAAACAACATTTTTGTCTAAAAACAAGCACAAGCCAAGAATACTGAAAGTGCAATGGATGTTGCTATTCAAACATCTGTAACTGAACTCCTTTGATACAGCTCCTTGACATGAAAAAATGTCAAGACTGAACGAACTACAGAGACTAGGGTACAGCTTCCCACACAAAGTTGCTTATAAACCTAATTACTTTGGGAGTAATAAGGGATGTAATGGAACAACAATTTATCATCTTCTGAAATAATTTGTTCCAATCTGCTCTTTCAGGAATCACTGATTTCCCGCCCTGAGTTTAGGAAACGAAAGTACCCGGTGGCTTTCCAATGCGAGTCACAGGCAGGCAATCCTTCAGGAGCAAGCCTGATAGGCCTGCAGCATTTTTTTGCTCATTTCTTACTCTAAAAAACTTCCCTTAAACAAAAATCTACCAGTGAGGGCCCAGAGACATAGAGAGGGGCACTTGGTGAGGTCCAGCTGCCCGTGGCCCAAATGCCATAGGGTCACCAAGATGATCGCCACCTCCTCTGGCTCTGCACCTGTGCCCATGAGGTATGGAAAAAGGTGAAGCAGCTCTGTGAAGTGGTGACCGGCATCAACTGGCTAGCCAGAGAAGCAGCGCTGTATGGGCACTCGCCAAACACCAGGGGAGCCTGGCACCCTGTTTCGACCAGTTTGCATCCTGCGTCAGGAGCACGCTGTGGAAGGGCAGGAACCTCCTGTTGCACAGGCAAACAGATGTAGAGGTAGCGGGCTGCATGAAAATGGCTCCAAGCAGACTCCAGACCTACTACCAGAAATTGGTAGTGGAGGATGTTGCCCAAGTCACCTGGCACAGAGACATGTGGCACAGGATCATCCAACGTCCCCCAAGTGGAAAAGGGGGCGGTGGCAGTGAAGAAGAGGAAGGGACAAGCAGAACAGAGGACAGAGACCGCAGCAGTGGGTCCTCTAGCAGGAGCTGGAGCGACAATGACAGAGAGGACACTTAAACTGAGTATGTGACCCCACAAGTGGGGAAGCGAAGGAACGGAAATGTTGCCTGGTCTGAGGGACCAGGATGTGATTATTTGTTTTGTGTGCGTTTCGTGCGATGCAGATATTGTAATGGGTTCAGGTGGCCAGACGGCCTTTGTACGGGCGCACAGGTGCATTTTTTTTTTGTAACGGGTGAAAGTTTTCTTGCGTGTTGTGAGACAAGGAGTGTAGATAAAGATATCTCTACATTTCTATCTATAAATATCTCTACATATTTTTACAAAAAAAGCCCCCAAAATCTACTAGGTTCTTGCTCTTCATCTTTCCCTCACTTATTTCAGTTGCAAACCAGTAACTGACATACTTAAGGAATAGCAGAGGTATAGGTGTTCGAGTGGAGTCTTGAAAAATGGGCTACATTTACTTAAATTCTTGTACAGAGTCTATACATCTTAACTTACTCCACCTTGAAAAGCCCATTACTCAGAAACCAGCAAACAAAGTTATGTTGCACACAAGCAATGTCTGTGATGCTTTGGTAGAATTACAGCAACAAGCATTCCCCAAGAGAGGGGCATCCAACATACAGCCTGCAGAAGCAGGTAACTTGGCAAACGGGGCTGCTCCACACAGCTAGCAGAGCTGCCATGTCAGCACAGCCACCACTCCGGGGTTAATGACACTGCCCAATTCACAGTTTTGTAATCAGGTTGGCATTAACAGAAGCAGCATTAACCCCCTAAATGCTGGCCACACTTACAGCACAGCCCTGCAACCCAATGACCCACCCCCTGGCTGCTGGGAAGGAATATGGCCCACTGATGTAATTTCAGTTTGCGAACCATGCCCTAAGCAATCTCAGCTTATCTATCTGTGGATGAAAAAGCAGGAGCTGTACATCAGACCTTCCACAAAGATGAATCTTTCTATTTATCATCTCCTTCAGATCTTTCCCCAACCTCTCCACTTTCAAAAACACATTATAGAAGGCTGGAAAGAAAACCCCATAGCAGACAATCTTCAGTACCACCAGTTTAAAAACATGCTACAGCCAGGATGCCCATGAAGTTGTACAATCCAGCCTGTGGGTCACTGGACTGACCCCATGCGCCAGCCGTAGCCCCATGTTCTGCATGCAGCGCACAGGCTGGACTGGCCACATGCACTGCACACACCAGGGCATCAGTGGCCAAAACAGGGCCTGAAGGCCAGATCTGCCCCACCAAATGATTCTATACAGCTCGTGGCTGCTCCTCTGAAGGAGAAATATATCCAGCCCATGAGTGCCCTAGCTTTCGGTGCCCCTCACACTTCTCCCTTCCCTTTCTGAAACCAGCTTCAGCAGCAGCTCTGGCTCGGCCTGGAGCCACTCTCCTCTCTGGCTCAGCCCACCCTGCCCTGCTCCACAGGCTCCAGCGTAGGTTGCAAGGCAGGGGACACTGTGCGCAGCTCCAACCCTGCAGCTATTCGCACACTAGACAGTCCAGTCCTTGGCAAGAGTTGAAGCTCAAGTATGGTTCTACCAGCTGGTGGGCGAGGGGGTGCAGGGGGAAGAGGGCCAGAAGCTGTGGGTTATCCAGACCCTGCTGGGTCAGCCTAGGTCCTGGTAGGGGTGTGGGTGCTGCTAACACCGTACTGCTCTGTGTTTCCACTTGCTGCTTCAGGCCATGCCACAATGGTGCAGCTGGAGTGGCTGATGCAGCTCCTACCTGACCCTGGCATGGCTCCTGCCTGACCCCGAGACTCCAGCACACAACCAGATAAGGCAGAAGCCACGCCGGCCACTCCAGCTGCACCCACATGGCTTCAAGCAGTATGCAGTAGCACAGTGCAGCACCACCCTGGCTCAGCCACATGCTGGGGACTTGGGGTGGGGAGGGGCTTCAGGGAGAAGGAGGAACACAGCACTAGCCTTACAAGGCCTGGATAACCTGCAGCTCTCAGCCCCACTTCTTCCTGCACCCCCCTCCCCCCCAAGTAGGCAGATGGTGCTACGTTGTGTTCCCGCACATTGCTTCAGGCTACATGGGTGCAGCTGTTGCAGTTCCTGCCTGACCTGGACACATGCCAGGGACTCAGGGCAGGGGAGGAGCTGAAGGAAGAGCAGAAGGAGCTTGTGCATGTGCCCATATGAGTGTGTGCATGTACACGTGCATGGCCTGCAACAGCTCACCAAACTCGTTAGGTGACCCTCCTGCCCAAATAACTACCCACCCTTGACCCAGAGCATACACATATGCAGCACCCCACTGGACTGGCCCTGCATGCTGGCTCCAAAGCCACTCCAGAACCAGTGAAGGGCCAATCTAGCCAGGAGCCACATGCAGTGTGTAGCCCATGCTGGCCCCTTAGACTGTGTGCAGTGTGCGCTGCCACTCCAGCCCCATGCATCATGTGCAGCATGTTCTGGCCTCAGGGCTGGCGCTACCCATGTTGTGCAGGCTGGACCTGGCACTACATGTGGCACAAGTAGTCCAAGATACAGGCTGTATGAGGCACCCCAAACGAACACCCCCATACTGCTTCCAGTGCCAGGTCCAGCCCACGCGCCATGAGTAGCATGTGCCCTGTGCCAGCCCCACATGCTACATGTACAGCAAGCCCTGGGGCCAGTGCATGATGGGTGTGGAGCGTAGGCTGGACCTGATGCTGCAGGGACAGCACAGGGGGTCAGTCACAGTGTGACCCACAGATTGCAAAAGATAGTGAGGCTGATGATACTCCCTGATTTCAGTAGGAGATCATTCCACAGTCTTTAATTGGCACCAAAAAAGTTTTGTCTCCTTGACATCTAAACAAAAACTACCACATATTAGAGAAATCTAGGGAAGATAAACAGATTGGAAACCTTTGTTTCCCAAATGATTGTGCTTAAGGACAAAGAAGCATGTTCATTCCTCTTTAGCATATACTTGGAGATATTTAGCTAAGGAGGTTCAACATCCATCCATTTAATTTGATTCACGGCAGAATTTCAATCCCAGGGCAAGGAAGGCATGTAGATGACAGCAGTTCTAAACTAGCAGTCTGCCAGCTCCAGGAAAAGATGTTTCAGTCCCTCTAGTCAGCTTAGCAGTGGCACTGGCAACTTGCTACAGTTGAAAACAACTCAAAAATCTGCAGAACTCCCTTCAGGAAAAGAATCTCCCAAATGTAATTCTAAAATGATCACAGAGCCACCTCTTTCTAAGGTCTGGGGTGCCAAATGGGGAGCAGAGAGCCTGCCAAACCAGTGTTAGATTAGGGCTCCCAGTTATACTGGAGGGCAAGGACAAAAAGCTTGCAAGATGACCAATACACTAAGGATCTCCTGCACTGTGCAACGTCTGCAGAACAAACAAACAGAATTTCTCTCTGCTCTTCCTCGTGTTGTCATGCAGATACATCATTTACATCAGGGCCAAGATGTAAATGAAGTTTTATAAAATGTAGCTTAACTCGCTAGTCCCTCCCTCAGTGATTAACTGATAACCTTAACAGAGCCACTGTTCCCTATCCTGAAGACAGCATTTGTACAGCTGCCCAATATAACCAGCTAACCCTCTGCAATGGAGCAGATCATTTCAAAGCGCATTAGGCTCCTGGGAGTTGAAGAATGACAAGTCAATCTGTTTTTAGTGTTGTTAAGAAAGATTCAGAGGTTTAAAATAGTAAAGAATAGGTTTTATATGGAATCTATTGAATTATGGCAAGATACCAACAGGCATTATTCATAACTATTTTTTAAAGGACCACACCCAACCCAAAAGTAAAAAATGCAGCTAAACACTGCTATCATTTTCAGCTTCAACTATTCCATGCAAGGGCTCCTTTTTCCAGCAATAAAAACCCTTAGTATCTCATTAACAATACTGAAGTTATAATTAATTCTGC